AACCTCCCGTTTGTAAATGATCCTGCCCCCAAGGATCATTCTCTGACCACGGAGCTTCCCTCCTGCTGTAAAATGAACCTATGGAGGCCGCTTCATTGTAATCCGCATAGTGTCCATTAGCAGTTCTCAAGATATTCTCCAAAGATGAATGTGAGCCATAGGGCCTCTCAATTAACACCGCCCGACTTTCTGAGGCACCACGCCTGTCCATCATGCTCCAATCATTAATGGGAGAAACCAGCTCCTTATTCTGGCTCAACTTTCCCAGCCAAAAACAAAAATCAAAACCAAATACTTGCCTAATTGCCGTGCTTTCCCAAGCCAGAGGTTTTGTCACTGAGTGCTGTTAGTGCTGCAAAGTGCATCCTCATTTGCAAACCGCTGCCACCATGTCTGGACCAAAGACAAACACTCTCCCGTTCTCAGGTGCTGAGCTCACAGCCACCTGGGGCCTTGGGATCCTCACTGGGTCTTGGTCCTTTTCTGAGGCTCTTTTACATCTGGGTTCCTCTCAAGGATGCAGACAGACACTCAGCAGACACTCCCAGCAAGATAGGTTAAAAATACCTCTGCATTTATTTGAATCCTTCAGATAACAAAGAGTGTTTGCTCGGCAGAAACCACTCACAAAATACAGCACTGGCAACAAACAACAACAACACTATACTTGCACTGGGGTAATCTTGCGACCTGGCTTTCTCACCCGAAGGTTTAAGAAAGAGAGTCCACTCCCACAGGCATAGTCCACAGCATTCCTGGTTGCAGTCCTGAAGGCCTCAGCCTCTGTTCGTTCCCTGTGTGACTGCTGCCCGACGTTCGGTAAAGGCCTCTTATCAGTTGGTCAAGGCCACCAGGTGTTTTTAATTAATGCTCAGCCCCAAACAGGCTGCAACCAGCCTGTGAGAACTTATAGCTTGGTCGCATTAATAAAAGCCTAAGTTCTGTAAGTTCTAATCCTTACATGCACTCTCTTCAGCTTTTTATCTGCCCCCACACCTGCAACCACTACTGTCCTCTGAAGCCCTGACTTCCATGTCACATTGGCTGTCATGGGGGTATAAAATCAGCAGGGTATAAAAACACAAGAGTCCACCATTTTCTCCAGGGGAACTGATCAATGACATCTGGAGAGCAGTTGTGATTCTGAGTGATCTCCAGTCCTCACCTGGAGATTGGCAACAGTGGTTCCCCAGGAAGAAATGGCTGGTTTGGAGGGTAGAGTCTATGGCATTGTACCTGTCTGAGGTCCCAACCCTCCTCAAACCTCACCCTCTCCAGGCTCCATCCCTCAAATCTAAAGGAATTTCCCAACCTGGAGTTGGCAACCCTATCTCCTTACCAGCCAACCATCAACCTACCTTTATCCCTCCCCTCACTCTTCAGCTTTCCATCTCCGCACCCACATGCAGCCTCTACCGTGCTCTGAAGCCCTGACTGCTATGTCACATTGGCTGTCATAAGGAGGCCATCTCAGAGTCCACCATTTCCTCCAGAGGAACTGATCTCTGCCATCTGGAGAGCAGTTGTAATTCTGAGTGATCTCCAGCCCTCATCTGGAGATTGGCAACAATGTTTTCCCAGGAGGAAAAGTAGTCTTTCTCTGCAATGGGGAC